ACACAGCAACCGAAAACCAAACACTGCATGTTCTCACTCATAAGTGGGAGTTGAGCATTGAGAACACATGGACACAGAGAGGGGAACATCACACACCAGGGCCTGTTGGGCAGTGGGGGTTGAAGGAAGAGTACTTAGAGGATGGATCATTGGGTGCAGCAAACCACCATGGCACACACATACCTATATAACAAACCTGTGCATTCTGCACATGTATCCCGTTGTGTGTGTGTGTTTTTTTTAGAAGGAATAAAGAAAAAAAATCTATTATCTTGTTCCTCTTATGGTAGGAGCCAAATCTGACGTATAACAGGCCTGGAGCCTGCAGAAGGCATAAAAACAGGGGAGAGACACACACGGCTTTCAGCTGCTCCTCTACCAGACGCACCCTTACTTTGCTTCATGGCCCCTGCTTCATGGCTTAGTAGAGTAATGCCAGGAAGATATGCAGACCTGGGTGAAGCACACACGTGCTGGCTTTGCTCCCAAGAAAGTTTTCTCCAGCCTGTTTCTTCTAGCTGGTTAGATAATTCAGCTGCCTAAGAATCTAGGCCATGAGTGTATTCTCAATGGTATATTCAAGCTGTGAAATTTTAGTAGTAGATAGATTTTTACAGTTTTAAGGAAAATCAATCAGCCGGCCAAAACAAGAGCTTGTTGAATGGGGCCTGCTTTTTTAAAAAAATCAAATTTAAACTGGGATAATCTACCCATTGATGTTACATTAATTTCTCACTTACCTAGTCATTCAACAAATGTTTATCAAGTACCAGGCTTGGTGCCTGATAAAGTGCTAAATCAGATATTTCCCTGACCACATGGAGCTTATTGTCTAATACAAGGCAAACTACAGTCCTCAGGTCAAATATGATCTTCTGCCTGTGTTTTTTTAAACAAAGTTTTATTGAAACACACCATGATCATTTGTTTATGCATTGCCTATGATGCCTCTCAGACTACATGGTAAAGTTGAGGAATTGAGTGGTTGCAACAGAGACCATATAGCCCACAAAGCCTTAAATATTTACCACTGGGCTCTTTACAGAAGCAGTTTGCTGCCCTTGGTCTAGTGGATAGTTGAACTCTGCTTTCCCACCACAGTGATCCACTTGTTTTGTTGTTGTTGTTTGTTTGCTTGTTTGTTTTTAAGACTGAGTCTTGCTCTGTCACCCAAGCTGGAGTGCAATGGCACCATCTCGGCTTACTGCAACCTCTGCCTCCCAGGTTCAAGCGATTCTCCTGCCTCAGCCTCTCAACTAGCTGGGATTACAGGCATCTGCCACCATGCCTTGCTAATTTTTGTATGTTTTAGTAGAGATGACGTTTCACCATGTTGGTCAGGCTGATCCCGAACTCCTGACCTCAGGTGATCCACCCACCTCGGCCTCCCAAAGTGCCGAATTACAGCCGTGAGCCACTGCACCCAGCTGATCCACTTGTTTTTTATAAATTTACTTATACAAGCGTTTTTGGTTGAAATGAGAGAATCCATTTAATGGGCTCAAGGAAAAAGGAGGATTGTGATAAAATATTCACCCAATAGAATCCATGGACAGGAAACTAAATACAGGCATTACTCCTAAAATACAAGTTTTGCCACAGAAATTGGCCATAATTCAGCTCTATTAATTAAATAACATAATCTGCATTACTGAGCTCACCACTGGTTACAGCAAAATCTTGACTAGGAACTAATAATACATTTAGAAGCTAGCACCAATTAAAAAAAAAACAACTGTTGGCCTGAGCAATGCAAAGGCTTTATTTGGGTAGCTTTGACTCTATTTATCTTAACACTGGGTTATAATAATAAAGGAAATAAGGACTTATAAAATATCACAAGTTAGTGATAGGAAAAGAAGGGACAAGATTTTTAAGCAAAAGTCGCCAAATGCTGGATTTGATCTGTGAGGTTTAGATTTTACTCTTTAGCTATAAAAAGCATTCTTATTATTGAAATTATTACAGAAAAAAACTACTTTATTGGGATCCTGAAATTCTGCAGCTCTCTTTTTTTTTTCACCTTCTTAAAACAATAATTGTTTTAAAAGTAGTTTTTTTTTTTTTTAATGTGAGGTTTCTGAGGAATATAGAATTGACCGTCCAGTGAGAGAGAAGAAAAGAAGGAGGGCAGGATCAGAACCGAGGTCATTCTCAATGATTCCCCAACAGTACGTGGGCCCTGGTGGTTCCATCTCTGCCTTTTCTCTTCTTCCTCTGCCTTTTCTCTTCTTCTGCCTGGCTTCCTTGTTTTTTTATAAATTTGCTTATACAAGGGGTTTTTGTATACCTAAACCTAAACAACTTGGATTGTCAAGCCCCAATCCACAGGTCTATAAAGCCTACCATCACTGGGAAATCCTTAGTGCAAATTGTTAATCTGACTGTTGTAGGGGCCAAGGTAAATGGTTTACCTCTTTACCCTCTAATGGTTCACTGGAAACCAACTGACAAAAGGCAGATTAATAGGAGAAAAGACATACAAATTTCTTAACATGCACAGGGGAGAATCAGAGTGAGTCTCCGCCATACAATGGGGTACAGATGGTTCTATACCTTTTTCTTTTTTTTTTTTTTTTTTTTGAGACGGAGTTTCGCTCTTGTTACCCAGGCTGGAGTGCAATGGCGCGATCTCGGCTCACCGCAACCTCCACCTCCTGGGTTCAGGCAATTCTCCTGCCTCAGCCTCCTGAGTAGCTGGGATTACAGGCACGCACCACCATGCCCAGCTAATTTTTTGTAGTTTTAGTAGAGACGGGGTTTCACCGTGTTGACCAGGATGGTCTCGATCTCTTGTCCTCGTGATCCACCCGCCTCGGCCTCCCAAAGTGCTGGGATTACAGGCGTGAGCCACCGCGCCCGGCCTCTATACCTTTTTCTTAAGGGAAAGGAAGATGGGGAAGTGTAGATGATTTTAGAGGAGTTGTAAATGATTTGTAGGGGAATTCAGTGGGTTTAAAGAACATATAATGGCCTGGGACAAAGTTTGTTGGGCCTGCAGAGCAGACAATGGTTTGTGACAGAAGTCTATCCAGGTGTGTTGACAGACTTAAGTCTTTCTTCCTGTCATGAGTTCAGTTCATGAAAACTCAGGGAAGGGACCAGAGGTAATTGATTTTTTTCTTTGGTGGTCTGGACTTTAGGCAGATAAGGGAACTTCAGAGAGCAGCTGCATTCTGTGCTTTGGGAGAGACAGAGGTTTGGGGTAGAAGAGGTCAGAGAGACCTTGAGACATCTTCAGCTCAGCATGTCAAAATGCCATATACTGGGGGTTTCAGTTTCCAAGCCCGAACACTGGCCTTACTCAATTTATACTTTGATACTTTTGCAAAGCCTGCTAAAACCTTGACTTTTACATTGCCACCAAGACCAAAGACTATATTCCCAGCTTCCCTCGAATCTCAGTGTAATCCCTAGGCTAAATCCTATGAAGTAAAATACAAGCAAAAGTGTTATGTGAACCTTCTGGGAAGTGTCCTTGGAGGGTTGATATAATGATGTGATGGCTGGAGCTCTGACTGCCCTATTGGACGTGAGCAAAGGGCCACAACCTCGAGATAGCATAGTATGAGCTGGAAGGAGCCTGGATCACTGATAACTACTGGAGACCCCAACAACAGCCCTAAACTGCCTATATGTAGGCTTATTTTATGTGAGCGAAATACATGCCCACCTTTTTAAGCAAATATTTTGAGGGGTTCCGTTACCTGCAACAGAGCCTAAACCTGACAGTTCCTCTGATCCAATAAGCTGTGACCAGGGAGGTAGGGCCTGTGGGTTACTCCCACACAGTGATTCTTCCAGGCCTGAGCAGATTTCCCAGGAAAGGAGGCCTGGGCAGAACAGGAGGACCATGCGGAGTTTCAACCCCGATGTTTGAGCTCCATTGCCAGACGACTTGGGGCTACAAGGAAGAGAAATGCTGTGATACATGAAAAATTGGAGAATGGGCTCATACCATAGAACATGCACCAGCATAAAAAATTATAATTCAAGGGGAACAAAAATGACAATTGAAGGCTCTGGGAGGTGGAATTGTGGAAATCATGGCTGCAGGCCAGGTTGACAGGTGCCCTGAGTAGACGGAAGTCAATTGTTCTGCTAATAATTGAAGAAACATTGGTTATATTTATAAGAGATCTGGTTAACTCATTCCCTTTGGCTACTTAGGGCTGTGATTTATAGGCAGCAAAGTCACTTAGGATAATAAAACCCCCAGGTCTGGTGGCAAACTGCTGAGATTTTTCAAGAAGAAAGAGACTGCTTGAATATCTCAATTGGCTTTTCTTGAGTGAATGATATCCTCAGGAAGCAGGTTTCAAATGTGTCTCCATCATTCACACCCTCAAGAAGAAAGATGAGAGAAATAAAAAATGCTACATTCATTTCAAATATTTGACAAGTTATGAAAGTCCTGGAACAGGTTTCTAAGAACTACAACTCCCAGTGAACACAGGTTCCACCATTCTTTTGTTCCTTTTTTCTAAAAGCTTTTAATTGATTGAGAAAAACTGGTTCACATATCAGTTGATTTGAATGCATTATTCAATGAAAGGAAGAATATATGTCATTTTTAAAAACATCCTTTCTTCTATACAACTGTGTCCAACTAGGCTATGGCCTTTCTGTTTAACTTTTTTTTTTTCTTCCTAAGAAAATAAAATCCCAAAAGTTTAAAAAAAATCCTAAAAGTTTGTGCTTGTGCATAACCTTTGCCTGCTAAAGCAGCACACAGGCAATGACAGAGCTCAAAGCAGCCTCGTTCCTCTGGGTCACAGACACAGCAGGCAGACACTCAGCCACAAAAGCCAGACACTTGAAAGCAGAGATTTAAGAAGGAAATCAGTTGTTCTCCATGTTCAGAAAAAAATAAAAGATGTTCTGAAATAGAAAACAAGAAAGAAAAAAAAAAGCAGTCTATTCTCAGGCAGTAGCCCTGATCACCCTGGAAGACCTCAACTTATATAAACATTGAAATCTTTGAAGTAAATGAAGATCAGCTGTGATGGTTAATTTTATGTGTCAACTGGACTGAGCTAAGGGTGCCCAGCTAGCTGGCAAACGCATTATTTCTGGGTGCATTCATGAGGATATCTTTGGAAGAGATAAGCATTTGAATCAGTAAGCTAAGCAAAGGAGATTATCTTCACCAATGTGAGTGGACATCATCCAATCTGTTGAGGGTCTGAATAGAAGAAAAAGGTGGCCGGGCGCAGTGGCTCACGCCTGTAATCCCAGCACTTTGGGAGGCCAAGGCGGGTGGATCACGAGGTCAAGAGATCGAGACCATCCTGGTCAACATGGTGAAACCCCGTCTCTACTAAAAATACAAAACATTAGCTGGGCATGGTGGCGTGTGCCTGTAGTCCCAGCTACTCGGGAAGCTGAGGCAGGAGAATTGCCTGAACCCAGGAGGTGGAGGTTGCGGTGAGCCGAGATCACGCCATTGCACTCCAGCCTGGGTAACAAGAGTGAAACTCTGTCTCAAAAAAAAGATGAGGAAGGACAAATTTGCTGTTTGTTTGAGCTAGGACATCTGTCTTCTCCTGTCCTGGACATCAGCACCATTGCCTTCAGACTTACTCCACTGGCTCCTCTGGGTCTCAGGCCTTCAGGTTTGGACTAGAACTACATCAGCTCTCCTGAGCCTCCAGCTTGCAGACAGCAAATCCTGGGATTTCTCAGCCTCCATAATTGCGTGAGCCAACCCTCATGAGAAATTTCTTTCTACATGTCTACATATGTCCTACTGGCTCTGTTTTTTTGGAGAACCCTGATTCATATACCAGTCAAATGAGAAATGCAAAGTCTATTTCTTTAGATTTTACTATGGCAAGGGAGTCAGCCTACCATACTTACATTTGGCAGAGATTCAAAGGTAGGCAGAGGGGTGAGAAAGCTTCACAGTAGAACAAAGAGAAGACTTCACATACATCTCGATCAGCACAGGGACACTGTAGGTGAGCTAACTGGAAGCAGAGCATCCTGTGTGGTTGGTCCTAAGTTAGAAGTGGGGGCAAACGCATTTTTTTTTCTCTGATTTGTTCTAAGTTAGTAGGTGAGGCAAAAATTAGGGATGCTGTCAATTATTAATCAAGTCCTGGCCGTTTTGTGCCAATTGTTACACAAGTTATTATCTTTCTGGACTATTTCTGGAGGTAGCAATCTGCCTGCAAGCCTGATATACTCACAGAGCAGGCTGGCTTCTTGTGTTATTTATTGCAGATAAGGGAATTGGTTTCCTGGGCAGGTCGCTACAGCTTGTGTTCTGGAGTTCTATTTTTATATATTATATAGTCTAGCCAATGCCCATTTGTATGTTTAGTCTCTTGTCTTTCAGATGAATACAGATAGCTGTCTTGAGCACCTGACTGATAGCCAGCAAGGTGATTTAAGTATTTCTAGAGAATTACTTTGGGAGACAGCTAATTCCTCTATGCCACCCTGCCTAGAAGTGCCTAAGAATACAGCTGCCAGAGTGAGCACATCCCTCTGAGCTTGATGCACCAAGATGGCGAGGATGGAAGGGAAGGATAATGGCGACGCTAGCGGCGGGGGCCTAGGAGGAGAGGAGGGAAGGAGTGCTCAGTGCTTCTCAGCCCTGGCTCTCAGTTAGAACGTTGTGGACAGCTTTAAGTAAACACTGATGCAGCAACTCTGCCCCACCCACCAAAGATTCTAATTTCATAAAGCAGCGCTGGGCATCAACATTGTTTAAAAACTTCCTAGGTAGGGGCTGGGCGCAGTGGCTCACGCCTGTAATCCCAGCACTTTGGGAGGCCGAGGCGGGCAGATCACGAGGTCAAGAGATCGAGACCATCCTGGTCAACACGGTGAAACCCCGTCTCTACTAAAAATACAAAACATTAGCTGGGCACGGTGGCGCGTGCCTGTAATCCCAGCTACTCAGGAGGCTGAGGCAGGAGAATTGCCTGAACCCAGGAGGCGGAGGCTGCGGTGAGCCAAGATCGTGCCATTGCATTCCAGCCTGGGTAAAAAGAGTGAAACTCCGTCGCAAAGAAAAAACAAGACAAACAAAAAAAAACTTCCCAGGTAATTCTAAGGTACAGCCCGGGTTGGCAGCTGCTGGCCAAAATGAATAATATTTCAGAGACAATGGGAACAAATATTTAGCAATTAGTGAAAATGAAATCAGGACATGCAGCCATGACCACTTTCTCAAGAAGCCTCCAACCTTGCATTCTTGTAGCTTTGCGCTTTTGAAATATAAAATGCAGGCTGGACATGGTGGCTCACACCCATAATCCCAGCACTTTGAGAGGCCGAGGTGGGCAGATCGCCTGAGGTCGGGAGTTCAAGACCAGCCTGAATAACCTGACCAACATGGAGTAACCCCATTTCTACTAAAAATATAAATTAGCCGGGCGTGATGGCAAATGCCTATAATCCTCGCTACTTGGGAGGCTGAAGCAGGAGAATCACTTGAACCTGGGAGGTGGAGGTTGCAGTGAGCTGAGATAGCGCCACTGCAGTGCAGCCTGGGCAACAAGAGTGAAACTCCATTTCAAAAAATAAAAATAGGGCCGGGCGCGGTGGCTCACGCCTGTAATCCCAGCACTTTGGGAGGCCGAGGCGGGTGGATCACAAGGTCAAGAGATCGAGACCATCCTGGTCAACATGGTGAAACCCCGTCTCTACTAAAAATACAAAAATTAGCTGAACATGCTGGTGCGTGCCTGTAATCCCAGCTACTCAGGAGGCTGAGGCAGGAGAATTGCCTGAACCCAGGAGGTGGAGGTTGCGGTGAGCCGAGATCGCGCCATTGCACTCCAGCCTGGGTAACAAGAGTGAAACTCCATCTCAAAAAAAAATAATAATAAAAATAAAATAAAAATAAAAATAAATATAAAATGCAGAGTGAAGCTGAACTAGAGTAGCAAATAGACAAAGGTCATAGAGTGTGAGCCCGCTACACACAATAAAAATGCCACAGGATCTAAACCACAGGCATAAAGAACAAAGGAGTATACTTAAAGCTGCTTCGAAATGACTGAAATTCTACCTGTTCTGAATAGTATCCTGCAATTTTAACTATTAAAAAACGATTTCATTCTTTTAAAAATGCCATTTTATTTTTCACAGATTATGTAGGATGCATGTGTTTTTAGTCTGTCTAAACTTATACATTTCTCAAATGCTTAAAACAGAATTCAGAAGAATTTCACTTGGGATATATAAACTCCAAAACCTCAAAAGAAGCGCACACACACTCTATACACCTGGTATCCATCTTTTATTTCTAGTCATTTCTAAATTTTTGAATGTACCAATGTATCTGAATCTGATACAACACCACCCCCTGGTGGAAATCCATAGAAAAGATCCCACACTTGATTTTACTTGAGAATATTAATACTGCAGGGAATGATTATGATCACATAAAACACTGGTGGGCTTCTCTCACTGTCTAGCAGCAGAATGTTCTCTGCAAACAAAATCATGTGCAAATTCTGGATGAACACAGCAGTAGTGCTGTGACTGTGCTGAGACCTTTCTCTTCCCCACACTTGCATTGGCAGCCCTATATCTCACTCTGGATGTCCAAAATGTATCTTATTGTAACATGTAACAGAAGTCGTCTTCCCCCAAAATTAAAATTAAATCCCTTTCTCAAGCTCTTTGTTTTGTTTTTTTGTTTGTTTGTTTTTGAGACGGAGTCTTGCTCTGGGCCCAGGCTTGAGTGCAGTGGTGTGATCTCAGCTCACTGAAACCTCTGCCTCCCGGGTTCAAGCTATTCTCCCACCTCAGCCTCCTGAGTAGTTGGGATTACAGGCACCCACCATCATGCCCGGTTAATTTTTGTATTTTTGTAGAGATGGGGTTTCACCATTTTGGCCAGGCTGGTCTTGAACTCCTGACCACAGGTGATCCACCCACCTCAGCCTCCCAAAGTACTGGGATTGCAGGCATGAGCCCTCGCACCCAGCCTCCTCAAGCCTCTTTACCTCAATACAGCACGTCCTTTTCCATCCACCCAAACTTTCTAGAGGATTCATAATACACATGTACACATTAAAGGCTCTGAGTAGGTCTGAGTCAAAAATCAGGTTAAATTCATTTAACTCGACAATTCCAACTCATTTTATTGTGAGACACATTCCCCTCCTCCCAATACTTCTTAACAAACCACAGAATACTATGATTGTATTTCATTCAGAATGATTGTTCCACCTTAATTAGCAAATTAGTTCTTTGGCTGCACATGCTGTTCATCTTCAAAAATGCTTAGGCAAAGCCAACCATATCGCAAGCCAGCTCTCAATCACTTACAGTAATGGAACATACAACCCTTAGGTGTTTGACTCCAAGCAGCTATTGAATAGATATGACATCCATAGGCGACTTCATCTCTGTCTCCTACCATCATTACCAGCTGAGGGGAGGAAAAGGTTGCCGCTAGTACTAACAGCAAGCATGCTTTGTCTTCAATTAAACATGGTAATTCTGCATTGTGTGACCACCGTGTAATTTTATTTAGAGGGATGATATTGATGACTTGGCTATAACCTAAGAAGATCATGGGCAGCTCTGCAATTGACAGTGATTTAAATGTTTTCCATACATTATCTCCTCCTGTGAATTTATGAGCCAAATCATATCAAAATCTGTATAGCTTCCAATATTCATATAAATCTGCATAGGTCCTTGGACATCAGATCTAAAGAAATTTTACTCTGTAAGAAGTATTTTTAAGAAAAAATAGAGTTTTATGCCCTATGTCTTTAATACTAGACTTCCTAAATAAGTCTACATGTTGCACCATTTTTTTGGTTGTTGTTGGGTTTTTTAGAGGTGGGGTCTGGCTATGTTATCCAGATTGGACTCAAACTCCTGGGCTCAAGTGATCCTCCTGCCTCAGCCTCTCAAGTAGCTGGGACTCTAGGCATGCCACTGTGATCAGCTTACATGCTGTACCACTTCTAATGCTGAAAACAAAGAAATGTCTAATTAAACTTCCATGCAGTGGAAAAGTTATTTGAATCTGTTCTGTGCTTTGATCAACAGTCTCTGTCTATTTGCTGTCATTTTATGTCATCTACAGCTTTGATTTGGGAGCGGGGGTCCTGAGGGCATGGACACACTCGCTGACCAGCCTGGCAGCCTCCAGAGCAGTGCCCCAGTGCACTGAGATGCCCCCGCTCCCATGGCCATAGTGGTGGACCACAGGCAGCCTCCGGCCATCTCGGGCAAGGAGCTCTGTCTGCAGCCGCAAGCCTGGCCTATAGGGCCTCAAGCCCACCTTCTCCCTGATGTTGTAGGCTCTGTGGAGGGAGGGCTCAAGAGCACAGCATCGAGAAAGAATCTCTCTGCTATTTTCTGCATCTGGGGACAGATTCCAGTCTCCTTTTTGCCTAGTTCCACCCAGGGTTACATGGGATGTACCAGGGTAAATATACGTCAGCCCACTGCCATCCCGGATAAAATGCTCCACCCAGGGAGCCTGAACTTGGAGCACTTGGCCCCTTACAGGGAAAATCTTTGAGTCTCCTGCAAGCTGTCTGCTTCCAAGGCCTGAACAGTTGACCACGACATCAAAGGACGGATGAAGCTCCCACAGGTCTTCTATTCGCCGAGTGAGTATCCAGCCTCCACTTCCTTTTATCCTATGGAAGACAGACCATGAGGTGATCCTTTGTTAGCATCCTGATCAACTACTTCCAGCAAGTAAAGAAAAGGAAACTGGGAATAAAAATTAGATGATGGTCTGATGAACAGACACCTCAAGAGCTTCCAGGGCCCAATCAGGCCAAATTCTAGCCATCAACTGCTTCACATTCGCTAGGGATTTCTCAAGTGGAATCTAAATGGAAACCACTTTTGAAAATTCAAAACAAGGGAGATTATATGCTTTGACCTTTTTAAGTTTTGTAGAGTTCCTATATTATACTAGATGCTGAATAAATGCAAAATTGATCTGGTATTTTAAGTGTCCAAGCATTTCTTATTTATACCACTTATTTAACACTTAAATTTACACCTTAAACATTTTGTCTCATATTGTTAGCTTTTGCATGCTCCTTTGTATTAGCCTGGTCTCCCTAACTAAAAGGTACAGGGGTCATATCCCCACCTGCTTTATGTCTACAAGGATGTTAGCACGAGAAGAACACAAAATATTTGCAGCTGATGAGCAAAATGGCAGCTGTGGTTGATAATTATTGTATTTTCTGGATGAAGTATATCAATAATGAAAATAAATGGCTTATTCTGTACCTGTAGTCTTCTTTTAAATTGAGGTAAAATACACATAACATGAAATTTACCATTTTGACCATTTTTAAGTGTAAAGTTCAGTAGTATTAAGCACATTCACCTTGTTGTGCAACCGTCATCATCATCCACATCCACTATCCATCTCCAGAAAATTTTGACTTTTTTTGAGTTGGGAGTCTCACTCTGTCACCCAGGTTTGGAGTGCGGTGGTGTGATCTTGGCTCACTGTAGCCTTGAATTCCTGGGCTCAAGTGATCCTCCCACCTCAGCCTCCTGAGTAGATGAGACCACAGGTGTGCGCCACCATGCCCGGCTAATTTTTTGTATTTTTGATAGAGACAGCGTTTCACCTTGTTGTCCAGGCTGGTCTGCAACTCACAAGCTCACTCAATCCACCTGCCTCGGCCTCCCAAAGTGCTGGGATTACAGCCATGAGCCACCAAGCCTGGCCTCCAGAACTTTTTAAATCTTGCAAAATGGAAAGTCTGTACCCATTAAGCAATAACCCTCAGGACCTATAATCTTGTCCATAGGTCACTTGTAGAATATAGGAGATTTAATATGAAAAGGGACTATCAGCAGCTCTGTTCAACAGACGCAAGCCGAATGCCTGGATGCAAGGCACTGCTAAGATGGACCAGAAGGCTGTGAGTGACAGTGCCCTTCCTCAAGGGCTGACCGAGGAATTGGCAGACAGAAGTGTAAATGCTTGGCAGAATGGGCTAAGTTCTAAGAAGAAGTGATGTGGAATCAGAAGGCCTGACTTTATGTCCCAGCTCTGCCTCACATTAGCTTTGAGCTCTTGGCCAACTCACCTCACTTCTCCAAATCTGTTTCCTCATCTGCGTCATGGGGAGGATACCTCCCTTGCCTGTCTCACAGGATGCTTGTGAGGTTCCAATGAAATAATGGCCACTTCTTTGAAAAGTCATCAATCACAATAAATTTTAGAGGACTGATATCAATTAATCACAAACTCCTCAGGGGAAGAGATTGTATCTTATGCTTCTTACCGTCCCTGTGACCCAGCTAAGTGACCTGTACCTAGTAGACTGGAAGTGAGTGTTAGCCAATACTAAAGACAATGTGATTTCCTGGTTGGGACCTGTGATGGTTAATTTATGTGTCAACTTGATTGGGCTATGGGGTGCTCAGGTATTTGGTCAAACATGCTCTATATTTCTGCGGAAAGTGTTTTTAGATGAGAACATTTAAATTGGTGGTGGAGTAAAGCTGATTGCTTTCTTTAACGTGGGTCGGCCTCAACCTATCAGTTGAAAGACTGAGTAAAACAAAAAAGTTGACTCTTCCCCAAGGAATAAAGAATTCCTTCTGCTGGACTGCCTTCTGCCTGGGTCTTTGGCCTTTTCCTCCTTTTGGAGTGGAACAAAAACATTGGCTTTTGCTGGGTCTCAAGCCTGCTGGCCTTTCATTAGCTCCCCTGGGTCTCCTGCTTGCCTGCCAACTCACCCTGCTGATCTTACACATACTATTAGTTCTTTTTATCTGGAGAGAAATACAGGGTGGCATAACTTTGGCATCTTCTCTCTGACTGCTGCAATCCAAGCCGTTTCAGGGAGAAACTGGGAAGGGTCGACCTTGAAAATGGAGGCAGAGTGCTTGTATCCTGCCTGCCCCTAAGAGAGCAGAAGTGATCCTCATGGCAGTTCTGAGCACCATCTACTTTCAAGGCCAGATAAACAGGTTTAATGTGAAGGAAAATAATAAGAAAAGACAGAAACTTCTGCAGTGGCTGAGGTGGTCAATGATGGTCAATGAACAGCATGGGTTTGACAACTAATTTGAACTTAGCAAGGAGGGACTCTTTGAAGTGATTCTAACTTTCCACCCCACTTCCTGGTTGGAAAGTTTAATTGAAACTTGTATTAAGATCAGCAGAAAACTGTCCTTCTGATGCTTGGTTGCATTTTTAGAAAATGCCTCACGTTTGTGGTAGTGCAGGCCTGTAATTCCAGCTACTCAGGAGGCTGAGGTGGGAGGATTGCTTGAACCCAGGAGGTGGAGGTTCAGGCTGAGATTGCACCACTGTCCTCAAGCCTGAGATACAGAGCAAGGCACCATTGGAAGGAAGGAAGGAAGAAAGGAGGGAGGGAGGGAGGGAAAGAAAGAAAGAAAAAGAAAGAGAGAGAGAGAGGAAAGGAAGGAAGGAAGGAAGGAAGGAAGGAAGGAAGGAAGGAAGGAAG